CACTTCCCTCCCACTCCGCACAATCCCAGGATCGTACGGCTGGCCTTTGTTAGGACCCATCTCAGACAGGCTAGACTACTTCTGGTTCCAGGGTCCTGATACTTTCTTCAAGAAACGCATTGACAAGTACAAGTCCACTGTGTTCCGTACAAATGTGCCTCCAGCATTTCCTTTCTTTGTTGGGGTCAATCCAAACGTTGTAGCAGTTCTTGATACCAAGTCTTTTGCTCATCTTTTTGACATGGATATTGTGGAGAAGAAAAATATTCTTGTTGGTGAGTACATGCCTAGTGTTAAGTTCACTGGGAATATCAGGACTTGTGCTTATCTTGATACTTCAGAGCCACAACATATTAAGGTAAATAGTTTACAATTCTCTACTGCATAGATCTCAATTCTTATTCTATGTTCTATCTCTCTCTCTCTCTCTCTCTCTGGCTGTTTGACTTTGCTAATTATCTGAATATTTAATTATAACTATCTATATGTTTGCCTTTTTTTTTTCTAGTTTTTTCTAAGAATTTTACTTTTATTGTGTGCTTTGTGCGCTTTTTAATTGGTCCTAAAAAGTTTGGAGAAATCGATCTCGATTAATAAATTAGACCAATTGATAAATAGAGTGAGAAAACTAGCTGGTAAAAATATACTTGAAAGAGACATAAAAGTAGATGGTTAAATTCAAGAACGAGAGGAAAGAGACATGAAAGACCATTTTTTTACTTGAAAATTGGTTACCCCTCCTCTACAAATGTTGGACACTTTCTCCTCTCCCAGTACATCTACCAGAAGCTGCAAAGTAAATAGAGTGAGAGGTAAGGGGGATAACTAGTTCTTTTACCCTCGTAGTAAACGTATCCTTAAAAACAAACTATTTAACGCTGTCATGGCAGGGCTTCAACGAGATCAATTATTGACTTTCTAGATATTTTATAAGAGAAAAAAAGAGTTGAAGCCACTGTCACGCTTTAGCAACATATCATGTCATGGCACGGCATGGCTTACATTTGGAAATTGTCCGACTCCAACATTGTCGACCAGCGGAAATTTCGAAATCTTTTGTGTGTGCAATCTTATCCATGGTAGGCCCTTTTGCTTTGTCCAATCTATGCCAACCCTTTTGCTCTTTTTAGCAACTCCCTTGTGGTAGAACAAAGGCAGATTTATGAAATGATTCCTGGACCATTAAAAAAAAAAGAATAAAGGTTTATTGTGATCCTAAAATTAACTTAGTTAGATTCACGTTCTCATTTGAGGTAACTAAGATTTTTCTAACTAAAATATATAGTAGCAAATATCTGAACTTTTGCCACAGTTAATTGTTCATGTTACTTTTGTTTACAGTACTTGGGTTGGACTGCTAATTTGGTGCTTGTGATCCCATGTGATTGTGTCAGTTTGAAACAGAGAAAGAGTTCCCATTGTGGGTGTGAATGTTAGTTGGCAAAGATTAGAACCATAGATGGTCCTTCAATAACTCTTCTTAAGCTAAATGAAAATGATTTTTCATGCAATGCCATGGATTTGGAAGTGACAGTAAATGTTCAATTGTAATCTGCCGACATCCACTGAAAAAACATGATGGAAACGCTGATAAGTTATTATCCAAGGATTAATGCTACACTTCATACGATTTTCTGAAGCTAGAATCTGAATGATTATTCATATCAGAGCTACAAACAGAGAATTTATATAAAAGAATTGCTATACGAGCATGGATGCTTGATTTTATTTATAAGCGTAAAGTCATCATCATGATATGCATTGATTGCTCCGGAGAATCAAACTGATATTTTTACTGTGCAGCTTAAAAACTTTGCCATGGACATCCTGAAACGCAGCTCCAAGGTCTGGCTCACTGAACTTGTAGGCAGCCTCGACACAATGTGGGACTCTATTGAGTCTGACGTCTGTGAAAAGGGCAGTGGAGGCTACCTGATTCCTCTCCAGCAAGCCATGTTTAGGTTCTTGGTGAAGTCCCTTGCTGGGGCTGACCCATCAAACTCACCCGAAATTGCTGAGGGTGGCTATGCAATGTTGGACAAGTGGCTTGCTCTCCAGCTCCTTCCCACCGTCAAAATCGGTATTCTGCAACCTTTGGAGGAAATTTTCCTGCACTCTTTCGCCTACCCTTTTTTCCTTGTCAGTGGAGACTACAACAAGTTATACGAGTTCATAAAAAATGAAGGTAAAGATAGATTCAATTTAAGTTGCGATTTGCGTCTTGATTGATTGATTTATTCAGAGTTGATAATATTTTCGTGACCAGACTAATATTGCATGGTGCATGGAATTATATATAGGTAAAGAATTGTTAAGCCACGCCGAGACTGAATTTGGACTGAACCAAGAAGAAACCATCCACAACGTCCTATTCGTTCTAGGTTTCAATGCATTTGGAGGGTTTTCTGTATTTCTACCAGGTCTCATAAGCAGAATAGCAAGTGACACCACATTACAAGAAAAACTGCGCAATGAAGTTAGACAAAATGCTGGTTCAGGTTTATCTTTCGAGTCAGTGATGAAAATGCCACTGGTTCAATCAGTTGTTTACGAAACACTTCGACTGAGCCCACCCGTTCCCCTTCAATTTGCAAGAGCTAGGAAAGACTTTCGACTGAGCTCACACGACTCAGTATTTGATATAAAAGAGGGTGAGTTGCTATGTGGGTATCAGCCCTTGGTGATGAGAGACCCTGAAGTTTTCGATGAACCAGAGAGTTTTAAAGCTGACAGGTTTATGGGTGAAGAAGGGAGTGAGTTACTGAATTACTTGTACTGGTCAAATGGGCCGCAGACAGGGTCACCAAGTGAGTCGAATAAACAATGTGCAGCTAAGGATTATGTGACCCTCACTGCTTCCATGATTGTGGCTTATTCGTTAAAGAGGTATGATACTATCACCGGGAACTCTACTTCAATCACAGCTCTTGAAAAGGCTGTAAAGTGACGGTGAATGTGCCATTATTATTATAAATAAAATTGTGTTTTTAAACCTTTTGCCTCATAACGAAGGGCACATAAGAGTTTGTACTTCGTACGTAAGAGGAACTGATCAGAAAGAAAGATACATTGCTTTTTTTGGGTGGGGAGTTGATTGATTGGGGACACTGATATATGCCCATGTAGATCTTTCATTATTTTTCTTTCTTTCATTCTTCCATTCTCATATATTACCATACATCACAAGATCTCTCTGTTTCATAAATGAAGATGTGGTGCGCGATAGGATCAAGATTACAGTAGGAGGTCGCCGACTAGCTTCTTGGCGTCCCCGATTAGGTTTTAGAAAGATTTTCGGTCGCTTTTGACCTGGTCTTGAATAGAATTCTGGACGCTCTGACTTTAGTCCCGACACAAATTATAGGCCTTTTGATTTTGATCTCGATTCAAATCGCGAACTCCTTAAATTGGATTCCGATCCGTACTTCTAGCATGATTCATATTCATTTCTCGATTTTTTTTTTTTTTAACAAACAAGTTTTATATCTTGTTTTTAAAAATTTGAAAAGAGATACAAAAAACGAAAAACAAGACCGGTTCTAAACAGCCATTTAGTTATCAAATGACTACTTTACAAGTGTTAGTTCATAGTGTACCAACCGCAACACACAACATAGCTTAACACTACTTAACACCAAACTTTAAATTTGGGAACTCAGCAACAATGTTACTGAACAAAGACTCGAAACAAAAATCCCATATCCAGGGACAAAGTCTCCGAATTCAGCGACTTTATTCGAAGAATGTAGGGACTTTCGTCCCAGAAAAGTAGTGCGCACGAAAAGACACTTAAAAAGAAGTAGAAGAAGAAGTCAGATATCGTTGTTAATCACCCACCACCTTGGTCGTAAGAGGATTAATCTGGTCCTGTAGCTGGGATAACATCATACCACTCAGGTACTGACTGAGTGAGACGACCAGGACGAGACCCTTTTACCAGTTCTATAGACTGGTCAATTACAGAACCTACTTGCAGGCAGACAGCAAAACATCAAAAAGCTTATCATCTATTAATTCCTACTTGATTTCAAACAAAACATACTTGAAGAAGGTCAAATCCGAAATTAAAATGCTGGAGGAATTAATTCTTACTATGACAGAGATCATATCTAAAATTGAAAGATGAAGGACTTCGTCATATCTGAAATTGAAAGTTGAGGGATTGATTATTAAATGAGTTAGAATTAGAAAAAGACGAAATCCATAACCTAAAGATATGCACACAGAGCCACACTCTTGTACAATGAGCTCAAGTGAAAATTGTTAAGGCTACAAGGTATCCAAGATCTAGGCTTTGCATGAACTACTCTAAGCAGAATACAAGGAGGATTCCATTCATGTTCTTGGTTAGTCTGGCTAACATCCTAATGCAACAACGGAGATCACATAAATGCTTGTGGTGCTACTAAAATAAAAATCATGTAGAATTTGTGATGCTAAAAGGAAACTTCGAAGACATACCAGGTCGCTGCTCGTGTTGCATTGATTTATTGAGCAATAAATATCGTCAAGCATGGTATTCCTATAACATAGAACATGGGCTTCGAGACAACTGCAATCATCAGTTTGCAATCTTTACCTAGTTTGCTGCGGAAATAGCTTGATGACCAAGCCAGCTGCAGTTATAGGTACAACTGTTATTATATCCCAAAAGCACAAAACATATGTTTAATAAATAGTAAAACCACAGCAGTAACAGGTTAGACACTAGGCGACATATTATCTGATCTTTTTCTCACTAAAACAAATAAATCAATCTCTATCACTTGAGTTTTACAAGTAAACATTTGACTACAAGAAATAGCAGAAAATGATCTTTGGTCCTTTTTACACAGCTTTTGTTGTTTCAAACGGCTCCTTGATAAAGGTATACTTGACTATTAGAATCTCAAATATAAATCATATTCATATCATGCTGACATAGCTGCGAAACTTGTGAACTTTTGTCCCGCATATCATACCATAGCACCAAGAGAAAGCATAGGCTTCATGGGGGCCATTTACATGGACTGGACATTTCCCTGAGATTGGGCATGGGACTTGGCAACCCCATCTTTCCATCCTTTCTGACGTGCCCTCAGCTCCCACATTGCTGTTAATTTCCTTTGTCCTACCAATGCAGCTTCAGCTTTCTCCCTTGCTTCTTCACAGGTTTCCATCCCTGAATTGCATTTGTCAGCTTCCTTTTGATACTGGGATGCCATCTTCTTAGCCTCAAGCAGAGATATATCAGCTCGCCGCTGATTCTCTACTGCTTCAGCTTCCCGCAGCTGCAATTCCTCTTTTAGTAACTCTGCAAAATTCTTCTCAGCATCTTCGGTCACCTCTGGGTCATGCTTTGCACAATCTGCATAATATATGCCAGGCAGAATGAGATACTGTGACACCATTATTCAATCATATCATTCACCTAACATTTTGAGGTTTGATACCAAATACCAAACAATAAGCACATAATGAAGTTTGAGAAGAGAATTAATTTGAAATGTATATAAACATGAAGTTTGAGAAGAGAATTAATTTGAAATGTATATAAACATGTGCATTGCATACTAAGTTAAAACAGAAAACCCAAATAACGTTTTTTTTTTTCCTTTGAAGCTTAGTATGCAGATAACCATATCAGCAATATAAGAGAAAGATAGTCATGACCAAGATAGCATTTTTTACTTTGCCAACAGGAATTTGGTTATTATGTCTTTCCATTTCTTTCGGCATAGTTGTAATACAATCAACACTTTCCAGTTTCCACTAAAACCATGCAAATAAAAGACCAAAAGCACAAGATTAGAACATAAATGAATAAATCTTGGATTTCCTCTTCTCTCATGTGACTGCCTATAAAGCTTAAGAAAAGAAAAGAGAGACGCAAATCCCTCTTTCTGTTTCTGTATAAGACAGCTTTATTGAAACAGAAAGAGAGCATGAGGAAAATTTCACCTTGTGAAGCAATTTTATCATTTGCTACATGTGCCATCTACACTGCAAATCGATTTTTGAAACTGGGTTGACACCTAAGAAAACATGATGTGGAAAAGCAGCCTTTTTTTTTTTTTTTTTGAGCGCAAAAAAGGGAAAACAAAACATATCACAATACGTGGAAGAAACCACATCCATTGTACTAAACAAAATCTTATATTTCTAACCAGATTTTGGAAGGAAAAAAAAAAAGGAAAGAAAGAAAGAAAGAAAGGCACTTGATGAAATAATTTCTGAAAGAAAATAAAATTGAAAAGATGTAAATGTTATGACTTATGCTTATCTATGTCTCCAATGAATGAGGGAAATATGTGAGAATGCATCCTTTGCTAACATCGTATAGCTAGAAACTGTATTAAGTAAATTTCTGGGTAATTTCAGAATTCATGGGACAGCCAAAGTCTGAAGCAGGTTAGTGCAATTTTTCCCAAACTCAATGCACCTTAAAATTTTTTATTATACAGTAACAGAAAACATGCCACTTAATGCAAGCAGACTGTAGCAATATTTCTTCTATTTCCCCGCTCATGCACATACATATTGGACAGAGAAAAGTAATATGCTTAAGCTGTTCAGTTTTGATGTTAAAAATAATCTCCCACTCAAATAAAGTTAATTCAGGACAGATAAACTAACCTGTGACGGATGCATTGCTCAATCCTGCAGAAAAAAGACAAAGAATTGAAGTATAAACATGACGAATTTCAACTTATCAAATACATGAGCACAAAGTCCAAAAAGACATAATTGGCCTAGAAACTAATACAATTATGCAAAGAATTCAGTGGGTCTGACATTCAGTAGGCCGATTATGTACGAAACTACAGCAATACAATTGTGGTATTCTGCACTGAAAGCCTGGTCAAAAGACAAAGAACAAGCACACAAATGAACACACACAAACAATAGGTGTTACTTGTCTCACTAATCTTTCATCCTGATACAAACTAATAGCCAAAGCATTCCAACATAAATGATTCGGAAAGTTCAATGCTTCTCATATTAGGGTAGTATGTATGAAGCACTGTTGTATTTGTATCTGAACTATCAGATAAATGTCTAGTGTGAGTTACTGATGAATGAATTACTTGTTAAAAAAAAAAAAAACAAAACCCTGCATATTGCGACCTTTGTTTAGCAGGATTGTAACAGGGTTTTAATTTAAGTTAAGAATGCCGGACAGTTTTGAGATTTTCTGTAATTCTTGAAGAAGAACAAGAAATAGCTTCCATTGAATAACAAAGCACGTGCAAAATATTGTTGATGAGCATTTTGAACTACTAAGAATTATTTTATTCACATTAATATATATTACTAACCAGTGCTTTCAAAATGTTCTTAAGGCACCTGGCATACCCAAGCAAGGAAAAATCATGGGAAGTGCAAGTACCACAGGATAACCAAGATGGAAACAATATCTGAATGTGAACTTAACAATTGCTACTCAACAAATAATAATCTAAATTGCTTCATTAAAATATTTAAAACGTCTCTACATAGTGTATTTCAGCAAATTTAACCATGGCATTTCGTAATAAAATTCACCTAACAAGGTACTGCATTTTTGAGGACTCAAATAATTACATAGAATAATAGTAGCATTTACAAACACTGTTAAATGTATCTCCTTAGATGCAAAAAAATAAAAAATGACAGATACTAGATTATGAAATTACATGAACTGATGCTTGACACTGCCAAGAAATGTTTAGTTCGAGAATCCAAAACATAGCCCCGGATCCCCAAATCATGAAGGTTGGATTTCAATGTAAAAAACTTGAAGATCTACATCTAGCATGGATCTGGAATTTAACTAAAACTAGGTTTCCAACTAGTACAAACAAAAACCCAGAATTGGTATAGCACGAACAGGAATAGCAAAACAAAATTAACGAGTAATTATCTGAATATCATCAAAAGTGGGTATCTTGGATTTCTGTAAAACGTTGCAAGGAAAGAAGTGATACAGAGATAGAGATAGATCTACTGACCTTGAGGAATGGAGAGGAGAGGTTGAGAAGAGCAATCACAGACGCAAGGAGAGCAATTTGGAGAAGATCGAGCGACAGCAACTAATCCTTCTTTCAAGTGCCAGTAGAGTGGTGGACCCAATATGTATCCTGCTATACACATTGCCATCAACCCCAACCCTACCTTCACTACTGCCGCTTGCTGCTGCTTCGTTGCCATTCCTTCTCGGTCTATCTCTTGCTAATAAGATTATGATCCTTCTCCTTCTCTCTCGCTCTCTCTCTCTCTCTCTCAAACTTACGCGTTCTTCTTCTTCTACTAAAACACAATTTCCTTGAAATTTAATTTAAAAAGAGAAAATACGACTCTCTCTCTCTCTCTCTCTCTAACCTTTTCTTTACTCTACTAGACTACTAGTAGTACTGTAGCAGTCGGTGTTGCTAATTTCATTAAAAAATTTATCCTTTTCTTTTCCACCATTTCTTTCTTTCATCTTCTCTCTCTATTTTTCAAATAAATGTAGATAGAGAGCATGTTGGTGTAATGTGGTGTCTTAAATTTTTTGCCATAAAATAAATGTATAAAAGGTTTAATGTTTATTCAATTTATGTGATTAATGCGGTGGTATTATCTGAATGGATTAAACTGATCACCACTATAAAAAGTTTTAGAATGAGAGATTTTTTTTTAACTTAAATATTCCACTAAAAACGATGAGGAATTTTTTTTTTTATCTCTTTTTTGTAACAAAGCTTTTTCAAACTCAAATACTCTTAAAATTTTTTTTGAGTCTATGATGTCTTTTAAATACAAGAAACTACCTATTGTTAGACCAAAAGTCTATTGATCTGAGATTAGTGAATCTATCATATTTAATTTATGTGTAAAAAGATTATAAGTACTTTATTTTAAATGCATGTTCAATAAAAATGTCAACGTAAAATATTTTTATATAATTTTAAAAATAAACGAATAAACAATAAGTATTTTGAGCTTTTACATAATATGATATTAGTTATAATTTAAAAATTTTATTAGAACTCTTCTGTTGTTGTTATTATTTGACATTGACATTTTTATTAAGCAAGCTTTTAAAAAAAGTGTTGAGAGAATGTTGCTGACACTACTTTTATGTATAATGTACATAGATAAATCATATATTTAAAAGAAAATTTTAAGCTCTTCTTGAATTAATGGTAACATTATTAACATTTCATATGTCTAAATTTTCAAAAAGGCTAGCAAAACCAATAAAATGGTAAAATTTATTGTATCATCGATATAGAATAAACATTGTATTGAAACATAATTGCATATACAATTTATGTATAATTTAAGTAGATAGTGTTTTTTTTTAATCTAGAGCAAATAATTTTTCCTTATGTTACATATATTACAAAATTTTTAACATTTTTATATAGTATGTGATCCGAAACAATCATTTTCATGTAGTAATAACATAACAAATTATCATAAGACAAAAAAAGGTTCATGTCAAACACTATTTTAAACCAAGGACCAATCTAACAATGGGAATTAAATCATGTTTTTAAAGTACAAGGACCAAAAAGTAATGATACTAAAAACTTAGGGAGGCTGCTGCCCTTTGAGATCTGCCCCAAATTCCAAAAGGCCAAATAATTTTGACTACTGCAGGAACTCTAAGAAACGTCGTCGTTCAAAGAAGTTCGCAGATCCGCGAAAACATTTGTTCTTCAAAGGAAGAGAAAAAAGGGAAAGGAGGAAGACAGACACTGCTGCTGCTTCATCTCTTTTGCTGAATCGAAAAGAAACAATGGCGTCCGAGATTCCGTACGATGAAATAAGGGAGCTCCAGATCTCCCTGAGGAAAGAGGCGGGTCTCTCTTCTTACAACCTAGAAGAAAACGATTGGCTTCCCGATTTGGCCTCTCTTAATGACTCCTCAATTTCCGACATTGACCCCTCTCCTCCCTACCTCCGATGCAAGAACTGCAAAGGCAGGCTTCTCCGAGGTGTAAATTCAATAATTTGTGTCTTCTGTGGAAGACTGCACAACCAGGATATCCCTCCTGACCCAATCAAGTTCATGTCTACTATCGGTTCCCGTTGGTTTCTCCAATCTCTTCTCTTAGATGGATCGGTCAGTTCTCACTCGGTTTTTCTTGATTTTTATTTTATTTTTTTATCGGTTTTTTTTAATTGCAGCATTTGTTTTCTCTGAAAAAAGAAAATGAAAAATAAAGAACACAGCTCCAAACTCATAACTTTATGATGTTGTCTTGATCAGAAAGGTTTAGACTTTTTGGGTTGCTTGGATTTTATTGAGGAATTTTAACTAGTGTTTTTGTAAGCTTGAGTGACAGTCTGGATTTCCTTTGTGTTTTGTTCTTATATTTTCATATGGGTTCTTAAATTTACAGCATAAAACTTATCTTTTTTTTTTTTTGAATTTTCTGGTAAATGTGGCTTGCTGTTTGCAGGAGCTTGTGGGGACGATTAGCGAAACAAAGGAATTAAACAGAGGACAGAACACTTCTCAAAATGAGTTTCCCTTGTCTGATCTCTTAGATTTGGAAATAAGATGGCCTTCAGAGTCGGAGAGATCAGAAACTAGAGTTTCAGACAAGACTCCTGCTCAAAATTTGAGTACTTTGAATTTGGTTGGATTTGATCTTAACAACTTTTTTGCTGAACCTAAGGTAGACTCTATCCCTGCTTCATCTCAAGTTCAGCTCCCGCCGAACGAACAAAAGGATGGTATGGGAAATAATGCAGTTCAAGGTCATGGAAATCTTAGCTTGTTTGAGAATGTTCAGCCTTCTGAGACAATTGGAGGGTCCAATCAAGATGAAAGTGGTGACCGGTCTTCTGGTTGGGATGCTGAGTTTCAATCTGCTACTTCTGGAACCTATCATCTGGAATCCAAATCATCGGATCCTTTTGTGGGTTCTTCCTCAGTTGATCTTTCTGCCCATATGGACTCTGTCTTTGGTCCTGTTAAGGACTTATATGAAGGAAAAACAAAAGACGAAACAACTTCTGCGTCCAGCACTTCTAAGGATGATATATGGAATATTTCTGGCACTGTAGCCGGCCAGGATGAACTGTTTAAACTGAACAAAAATGATGAGGATGGTGGAAAACGGGGGGCACTAATAATTCTTCCTCAATGAATGTTGATTGGATTCAAGGCAATCAGTGGCAAACCACCACCACCACCAGCAAGGATGAGAATAAAACCGTTGACGTAGATGAAGATTCATTTGACGCATGGAATGATTTTACTGGATCAACTAGTGTACCAGTGCCTTCAAAAAATTCTTTGAAACAAGATGCTAATCACTTGTCGTCATCTGTGGATCAGGCATCAGGAATAAACTTGTTTGTCGGAAGTAGTATTTCACAGGATGTTGATTTTGGTAGCTTTTCCCAGCCTGATTTCTTTCCAGGAACATTTAGCAATCAGAATGGGTCTTCAGAAGTGAATATCATGCAGACAGAAACTTCTGTTTCAGATAGGTAAGTACAATGTTCAATTTCCACTTTACTCAACCCATCCAAGCCTTAAATAACTTCTGTTAAGGCATCCAGACTTAGGTTGCTATGCTTGAAAGCAGGTACTAAATGCAAAAATTCAGAAGGGTGGGACTGTCCTGAAAATTCTCCCCTTAAACCTACTTCTGTTGTTGGGACAATAACTTGTTGTGGCCTTTTTAGACGCTGCTTTGGTGTTTTATTTTTCTATTTATCCATCTGAAGGCTGTTGAGAATAGTGAGTGAATCCCAGTCAGAGATGTCTAGCGATTGATTTTGTTTATTACTCGTTATGTTTTTCTCATTTGCACTTCTCATGTTGTCTTACACTGTCACTGTGATTTTCTTTCAGAGAACAGTCACTGTGAAATAATATAATTGGAGAGTGCAAAAGAAATATACATTTGGAAAATTATGCATTCCCTCGTTTGAAAGAAAATTCACTCCCTTGCTCTTAGCTACATATTGATATCCTCTTTCACATTGATAGCATGTGAAATTTTATGCATGAAGAGGGTTATCTATAGTGTCAGGCGATGGAGGCAGAAAAGCAAAAAAGACGAATAGGGATGTAATTTAGTTGGCTAATTTTCTTTCTAATATAAAAGATCCTGACTGGGGTTCTCTATGTTTAGGTTAGTCCTGTTTAGTATAGAATATCCTATTCTAAAGATTCCCTAAACAGAATTACTTTAGCATAAAAGATATTGTTTAGGGCTAAGTGGGGTTTGAGAGCCATCAAAGTTCCCGAGTAATATTGCTCACTACTTGATTTCTTAAGGAATATCAGCTGAAAGTTTTCATCCAGAATCTCTTTTATTGTTGGTGGATTGGTTATGTGTTGCTGCACTGATATTGCTATTTTGCTTCTAGGAAAATAATTGTGGAGAAAAACTTGGATAGGAGTGGGCAAACTTTTGATAAGAGGTGTTTGCTTAGACAGGTTTGTAGACAGTAGGTTTGGACTAGTGATCATGCTACATTCAATTAAAGTGGAGTTAGATGCAAAGAGAGTATATTTACAACAAGGAGATTGGAGCTCTGCATGCCTGAGCTATTTTTGATATTGTGAGGTAAAACAAGTGTCTGAGGGACAGGAACGTTCATTTCCTCATTCAAAGCATATTTGGAGTGAAACTGTTGGCACACTGGTCAATGTTTTGTTAATGAGGCATGCTTCTTGGAATCTTTTTTTCGGGTCCGTGGTGCTCCCTTCTCGTCATTTCCAATATGGTTTACATTTCTACTGATCAAATGAGAACTGTGGACCTCGTGGTAAGGGAGAGAAGCATGCATATAGCATGCAGAGGTTATGTGAGAAGCATATGATTTTGTTAAAAGTTGGGTTCAAGGTAAACTACTGAGATGTGTGCAATGGTATTTCAAGATGAGGAATATTATGTTGAATTTGCTGGTGCAAGGATTCAATCAAAGTTATGCTTGTGCATGTTGCGATGTGGAGGCAGCTAAATTTTGCTAAAGGATGTGGCTGCTGGTTACTTCCAGGTTTTTGAGTTATATATTTATCATCAGTTCTGACATTAGAATAGATAATTAATATTCCCCCTTGATAGAGAGATCCTGCTGAGAACACAAGGAATAGAAGGTTTCAATGTGTTATACTTTGCCGTCCCTCCTCCCCCACCCCAGCATGGTATAGGCATAGTGATTTGGTACATCTGTAGGCTGTAGTAATAAAAAGTTTTCTAGATCACATCTTTCATCCATGAAAGATTTTTTTTATTGTAAGAGTGCAATCTCTGTTCTATGTGGAATCATTTCTGATTGTTGGTCTTGGTTTTCTACTGAGTCGGCTAAATTGATGAACATTTACTAACATTTCTAAAACATCTTTCTTTGGTTTCCTTAGAAAATAGTCTGGACTCCACTGCCCGCTGGAAGTAGTCTCTCTTTAAGCCTAGATGATACTGGCTCCATCTTGAGACCAACTTCTTTTTTCTTGTGGGTCAAGTTAGAACCCATGTTCATAACAAATTGCTGAACACAATGACAGTTATTGAATTTTCTGTTGAATCTTTCAGGATTGATAGTGTAAATCAAGATGGTGAGAGTGCTGAAGAAGTTAAGAAAGGTGAAAATACGAGGTCCAAGGATGATGATGTAGAGATGCTCATGTCGCAGATGCACGATCTCTCATTTATGCTGGAAAGTAATCTATCAGTGCCACAAAAGACACAAGCATTTAGTTCATTTTCTAAAGATTAAATTCCCGGTGTTGTCTCTTGAGTTTTCAAGCTGTAATTTGGTTGTATGATGCGCTCTCTAGTTTTGAATGGTCCATAGCGGCAGCGATCCTTCTTTTTAAGAGGTCGAAGTCATATGGCTTTTTATTCCTTTCAATTATTTAATTATGTGCTCATAATAACCATTTTATATGACAGCTCTATTCTGTGTCTGTACATAATGACCACAGATATGCGTTTGTGAAATGCCAAATAATCAATTTCTTGTCGTTTGACAAGCAATGTGTGCTTTATCCTGTTACTGCTCAACAGTGGTATCTTGAATTCTTAATAGAAACAATATTCAAGGCTCTAGTTACTTGTATTTGTTTTTTTCGAAGATGGTTAAATAGATATGAACAATAAAATGAAAAGTGCAAAGCTGCTTTATCAAGTTGTTGCCTGTAGAATTAAAATGCATGGAAATGTTCTTGATCAGAAGCAAATTCAGTTTTCTTTTTTATCAGCTTGTAATCAATAGACCTGGTAACATAAGCCATCGCTGTACATATGCCAATAACCTGTGAAGGAACTTCCATATTATACACAGGTTTTTTAGCTTGAAGCGTAAAACACTGCCAAAATAATTCCAAATTGATGCACGAAACAATTAAAACAATTGGCAATCATAAATGCTTTAGATTCCAGATTCAGAATGACAAAACGGTTGCTAAATTTAGAAGAACTGAAAACGGCAAGTACGGATAACAGTAGGTAAAGCATATTAGGTAAGCAGTAAGGACTAAGGATAGCTTGCTTGGCTCTGTATGCATTAACAATATATTAAAAGATTCACCAGTTCAGCTTATAAACTATAAAGTAGCATCTCTCTCCCACAACAAAGTACCGAGTTATACAACAAAATTTCTACTAGTTTTGACTAACAATTATTTCAACAAGTACAGGGTATAATGTAAAACATCTGTGTATGGAATGATATCTCTAATTCTCTCCTGTTTCCTTGGACTGCAGGGACTATATATTCCATGCCTTGCTCGATCTATCCTCTAACTAAAGATCCAATCAGCTGCTCTATCTGTTGTGCTCTAGAGGTTCTGTCGCTGACGTTGTGAAATAACTGGTGCAGGTGTTGCATTGCAGATGGATCACCCTGTTAAGGGTAAAAGGGAAAGGAATCATTACAGGTTAAGAGATGAAAATATAATGAAAATGTTGCCATGGCTTATATGGCAACAGATTGAAATTCCATCCCATTGCGAGCACTTCCCACAAGAACCTTGTGAGAATGATGCACACTTGTGCACATATTTATGCACAGGAATGTTCAAATGACCTCTGCACCAGAGTCATTTGTAGACTGCTGGGCATACAGGATCTTATCAAACTAGTCTGCTGACAACAATCTTGCATATCTTGTTTTCTAATATCTAGGAGTATATAAGACAACTGCCTAGACAGGGTGGGTTGAACTTTATGGATGCTATATACAGCTTTGAAGCTACAGGATGTAAGACATGTCAGGTGTAACAAAAACTTTTTTTGACCTATCTTATCAGACACGATTTTTTAATTACAACCCAAAACACTACTTGTATAGAAGAAAATGGCCTTCACTGCTTTCTCTATGCATATAAAAGATCGATGTTGGGATGACAAATGCAACACATGCACCTGAGTAAATTAATGATCAACCGTGGGAATCAGATGCAACACGTGTATGCTGTGCACTAACAATGACATACATGTCTAAGTCTCTATGGAACAAATCATGGAAGTCAATCAAGTCTTGTATCTTACACGAAACATGTCAATGAAGGCAGCATCGCTTAAAATGACAGGGAGGCAGCATCTTAACCCATCGCATGACCTTCATTTGGAAGAAATCAACTCATAAATTGATGCTGAACTAATAAGTGCACAAATATTTGAAATGGGAATATTTATTCAGCTAACCTTGGACTTTCTGAGAGCCTATGATAACACCAAATTATGTGTTTTAGAAGCCGTTTGGAGTGATCTTCAGCTAGCTTTCCCTCTTCAACAAGCTTTTCGACCATGTTCCCTAAAACTCGGACCAAGGCAAAAAATCTTTCCGCTACAGTACAGCAATACCTTAACCCATCTTCATTTATTAAAATTTTGTACACAATATAAGTCGCTACCTGTTTGGTCAGACACATTACAAATTGTGTAACTCCTCAAATCATGCACATATTCTGACCAGTTTTACCCTAAACTTTAAAACAGAGTTCAAGTTGCAAGAAAAGAAATGTGCTTGAACTCAAATTTTCCAAAAGCATCGTATACAGCTACCAACTTTGTATTTCCACCAAAAATTTTCATTGTTATCTCCCAAAAATATTTTCTCAAATATGTTAGTTGTGTTGGTATCAGAACACAGCATTTGATAACAGCCCAGAAGCCGCAAGTATGCAACAGAATGCTGGAACACAGTTGACGCAACTAATTTGAAGTATGCAATGTTCGAAGTCAAGGCACTCACTGTTTTTGACAACTCGTTGCCCACCTCCATGCAGCGTAGGCAACAAGGAAATACTTCAGATTCTAGAAGAAAGTTAATGACATTTGGGTCATCAACCTGCAGAAACAAAAGGAGTCAAAATCTAACTTCACTTGTTTAAAAAAAAAAACAATTTTATTTAAGGTAGGAGAGTTTGATTCCCAAAAGGGCATTAATTAGTTTCATTTTTCCACAAAATACAATCACAACCAATGAGTTCTGTTTTGGTTGCATTTTCGGTTTATTTATCTGAATTTTCCATATCGGGCCAACAATGTATGCTAAAGACCACAGTAAGGCAAACATTAAGCTCAATCTCCAGAAGTCACCTTGGCTAGAGCACCAATCACACCTAAGCTGGTAAGCCTTAAAAATTCATGAGCCCTGTCCTTGTTCGTGTTGTTCAGAAAGGGGTAAAGATATATAGGTAGTTTAGCTGCAAAACAACAGAATTCAATTTAGCAGTGTCTACTTATCTAAAATATCAACTAATGCAAGCATTCAATTTCAATCAGTAATACTCAATTTTAGTGGAATGAATCTTATTTGGAACATGCAACTTGATGCAATATTCGAAAAAACAACCTAACAGTCTATTTCATGGAACAGGATATTTATGAATTTACAGCTCTTGATTCGCATATGTATTAGCATATACCCTTTCTGGTTGCACCTAAAATCACTTTGTGTAAGCTGGCAAGTGGCATGGGGGAAGTCAGAGTGATCAAAGCCTTATGCTTGATCACCTCCAACACTGTTATTATATTCTATGAATCAATAATGGATAGACTAAACTTCACCATGATATAAACATGACAATACATAGATCAAATTGGAAATCCATTTCAACTTTAAAAGAGAATGCTGATTTAAAGTCCACCGAAATTTCAAAGAAAAATGCTTTGCATGGAATTTGCCACACTAATAAATCTTGAAGAAAAAGGACATTGATTTAAATTATACAACTGAACTTGACACAATTAATTACTTCCATGATATCTTATAGCATATCACACAGGCATAATCCCGTGTGTTTGGACTGGACCACAAAACCCATGTCAGACTAATTCAAGAATAAAAAAGAAGCAAACTTCCGCTATAATGTTGTCTTGAAATGCTGTTAACCATTAACAGAATATCACCATGTAAGATTCTATGTGGCTTTATAAATTTACTAATGCATAGCACTAGCCAATTTGAGAGAGAGAGAAAACAAGCTTCTACTATATCCAAGCGATAATTTTCTGACATATATGAAAGGTTAGGCAAAATTACCCTCTATAAACTGCATTTTTGTACTAGGATTTGTGGCTACACACTGTACAACAAAACGATATGTCAGTGACAACATAAAGAGTTATGACGTAAAAAAACTTGAAACAATGCATCTTGGATACAGAAAAAATGGAACTACTTTATAATTGGTAGTTTCTACCTAAAAGTATGCAGAAACTAGAGTATCAACAGCAGCTTATAAGCAAGCCTTTGCTATCCATGTTGCTCTAACTGTGTAGACATGTCCTCATATTTGACATAGTAATCCTCCTCCTGATTTATTCTCTAAAAAAATTAACGGAAGAGAAAAGAACAGTTACCTGGATAGATTCTCTACTTCCTATTTTACCTATTCCTTTCCTTTTGAAACTAGTAACTGATCAGTTTATTTCCCACAGATTTATAGCATCTATCCCATTTCCTATTATAACCTAAGTTCTTTCCCCATAAGGACAGCATATCGGGCGAAAAAAAAGAAAAAAAGAAAGAAAAAACTGTAAATGAAATCATTACTTTGTCCTTGTCTCCATCAAAGCCATCCTGTCTGGGAAGAGAATGCATAAAACATCTATAGAATTATAATTCTTCTTCAAGAATGCATAGCAAAGAACACTAACCTCATAAACTGCCACCCCCGACCCCGACTCCCCTCCCCCCCCCCACAACCAAAAAAAAAAAAAATTGGAAAAGAAAAGAACAAAAGATAAGGAGAAAAAGAAGAAGAAAATTAAGGTATAACTGACCTTAAATAGAACAAGGGCATCGCAAACCCGATTTGACTCTCTTTCAGTAAGCATTGGTGAATATAGCGAATGGTATACTGAAATTATTTCCTGAAATGACGATAGTTTTATGTTAATTAGTTTAAACAAACTACTTGATGTAAGTCACAATATATACATATGTTGATACTTGTGACATACATGCATTGGAAAGAAAAGAAAGCCAGCATTTTAATACCTGTAGAAGTATAGAGATTGTACCAACAGAGTGCCATAACACAGGCGCCAATTCTTCACGAATAGCCCTATCCTGAAGCATAAAAAGGGATAAAGTAAAATTTTGAAATATTGATAACCCTATTTAACCATTTAGTTATTGAGCAAGATAAGTCGTGGTAATTAATTTGGAAGATCTAGATCTATGAAATTATAATAGCGATAACCAAAACTAAAGCTCATGTATACAGAACTTTACTTTAAAATGGTGCCACTTGTTACACTTCAAGAAATTAACTTTATCTATCAACAAACACTATACATTTAACAATTAGGGAAAATTTTTCAAGACTCTTCAACTGATTCATTTTTAAAAGGAAGAATTTGCTAGATCGAAGGCTACCTTCAAAGAAAAGGATTATATGGGTAGTTCATCAGTTAGTAATCCTTTAATACTATCAACAGTAACTATTATGACCTCTGCAATATATACTGTCATTAAAAGCCAGAAGTTGCATTAATGTGCAAAATCTCATGGCCACAAACACAAGGAATCAAAGGGCATTTATAAAACATACAGGTTCTATTAGCTTACTGAAACACTGATTCATAAGATGTAATTTAAATAACATTAAGGAAACAAGGTGGTGACTTAGCCAATTAGCTTGAAACATTAGAGTATTGAGCAATTATAGAAAGCGTAAGTTGAAATGATGACTACAAGATACCACAACAATGGGATATGCACACATTTATATGCAAAGTCTCGTGGATCCATGGACACAAGGAAGCAAAGCGCTTTTATAAAAACATTAACTTCCGGAAATTCTGATTCATAAGATGTAAAATAAAATAAAAGCATTAAAGATACGACGTAGCAAGTTGGCCAATTAGCTCAAAACATTCGAGCATTGCTAGAAAGGCTGAAAGTTAAAATCATGATTATGACATTGTTAAATGTCATACAATAATCGAATGAGTATCACTAATAAATATACATTGTTAAATGTTAAGGAGGATGTTGATTAAGAGTCTAAAAATTGTTATGCATTATTTTACATCTTCATTAAAAAAGAAAATAAGTATTATTTAGCACTTGGAGCATAGAAGAAAGCATTTAATGCAGTTAGTTTGTCCTCTTTGTATGAGCTTTCTCCTAAAGAAAACAGAAGGTAATTTTGCATTATGTGCCTAAAAGCACTTTTATTGATCAGATAAAGCTTCAAAAACGGTTTGAGATTCTTTATGATCTTATGCATTTTTTTTAATTTACCTTTTAAGATAACTTTTAAAATTTGTTTGGCTTTTGCTGGTTCTCTTTTATTTTTCTCTTTCATTCATGTCATACAATTTGAATGTCTCTAACCATTTGTCTATAACCGACTAAATCTTATCTACTATCTGAGCTTCTACATTCCACCAACAGTTTTGAACTCATTACAATTTAACTAAACTACAACAAATACAACCTTATCAAAACTAACGGGGCTCCCAGGCCGGGACGTCTGGCAGAATGCTTGGCCTCCTGCGCTGGAAGCCATACCCGAAGGGTGAGCTTCTGGTGGTTAGCTTCTAGAACTAGATAATAGGCATTAGGCATTCTGAGCTGGAAGGGGGCAAGCAAATGAAGGGAGGCATTACGGGCCGACTACAAGAAGCAAAGCTTAGGGAGCACTATCATACGCAAACACGAAAAATTCACTTCGATCCAATTTGTCATGAGACCACATTCTAAAAATGCCTTAATCCAGGATCTATTCAACTAAAAAAATGTTCTCAACTAACCTGTTTAATGCAGACCATTGACTTGAAGTGGCAACTACAACACATTCATTTTCCTTTTATTTCTTATCATAGAAAAACAAAGTGATCAGAAAATCATCTGGAAAAGGTTTGCCACAACATAGATTTGTCTATAGCGATAACACTAACCATTCTCTTTGCAGCTAGTCGCAATGCAACATTAACGTTACCGTTAATTAAGTTTATCGTCAAATTTCACGCCTAATTTATTAAGGGCATATTTCTATTTCTTTCCCAAGCTATAGTGTTTTAATCATCAAGTAGGACTAAACCTTAATGTGTCCATAAAGAAAGGATTACCTCTATATATCTACATATGTCCTCCTTGTATAATGACTACAATCACTTTATTAACTCCAGCATCATGAACTATTCCACGCATGAGCTTTCATTAACCTACTAAAAGAAGCTTTAGATAACCAACAATCACAAATAATTTCTTCATATGTTTGATGAAGCTTACCATAAAATATCGTTGCAGCGCAACTGAGGCTCCAAATTAGGTATAGCATTGGAACACTCAAAAAGCCCAAAATTAAGACTTAATGTAAAACTGTTGCCTTTAATAGCGTCCAGTTCACAAGAAATTATACCACTGTAGAATCTCAAAAAGAAACTACATCTACTACCCACAAAATTCCCCCATCATATTGCTGACTATTGGAACTTTTGTTTTTTGTGAAGCAGATCCGACAGAGAAAAATTTTAAGGATCAGCATAACATGACATAAAAGCTAATTTTATCATAAATAATAAAAGAAAAGAAAAGAACCACGTATAAAGAATATCCTTGAGACCCTAAATCAAAGAGGAAAAAGGGAGGAAAACTACTCTACTTCGCTTGTGTGCCTGCAAAGATTAAATGTATGTAATTAAAGGATTTTGAGCAATGCCTGCGCATTTATCATCAGAATTTGAGAATTACGATTTATATGTGGAACAGGGGTGTATATACAAGAAATTTTTAAATAATAAAACAGAAGATAATAACAAACACGTATCGAGCATCAAAAGAAGTGATTTTTTCAAGAACCTCTCCATCACATCCAGCTTACAACACATATTCTACTTTCTAATCAAGACAGTAAAGCCACCATGCAACGCTGATTATCATTTAAGAACAGTTAAAAAAACCATAAACCAATAAATTTTAAATAAATAAACCCCAAAAAATTCAAGCCTGGCTATCAGAATTCAATTAAATCATATATAGATAATCCCATAGTTTCCTGTGATAATAATTTCTTCACAATCAAAGAAAACCATAAATATAAAATCAAACGAACAAAACAAGAAGCAAAAAATCTTTTCTTTTTCTTTTTCTTTTTTTTCCTTATACCTTTGAAAGAAGATGGAGAGCACGTTCACGGGTTGCATCATTATGAAGGGCTTCAACCAACTGAACCACCGAAGCCGTTTCTCGGGCTCCATGAGCGACCCCGGACGTGTTCCAGCTTCCAAACTGCAATTCCGGCCACCTATACATTGTTGGTCTGTAATATTCTACAGCTAACAGGGTAATCTGACAGTACAGGCTGGCCCCAAAAACAAGGGAAGAGAGACGTACGCAGATAAAGAGAGCGAGACAAACTTGCCTCTCTCTCCAAATCTCAGGATATTGTTTTAGTCTCTATCTATATCTTTTCCATGTAGTCGTAGAATGTGAAGCTCTTTTATGCAGTGATGATAGTGAGGTTTGTCTGTGAGGGTTACATTGGGGTTTTTCAAGTATCCAGTGACAACAGATTTGATGGAATCGTCATGCTACTATCGGGGTTGGTGGGAGGAACTACTCAACCCAAAAATTCAATTTATTAAGCGAAATTCCAAAATTAATTTTATTATATTATATAAAAAATTAATTTTATTTTGAATTACATTATTTGATTAATCAGTCATTATATATATATATATATAATGCAATTTGTTGAATTTTACGATATTCATTCATAGTTGTACTAATAAATTAAGTTCGGCTTTTTTCAATATGGATTATTTATTAATATTGTTCTAAAAAATAATTACTATAAGAGATTGTTTTTAACACTTAACAATGATAAAAGAAAGCTTTTGAAAATAATATGAATTATTTATTTAGCCCTAACATTTTATAAGACTAAGCTTGCAATCTTCATATAATTTTATATTTAATTGGATTATTATTATTATTTCTATTATTTAAAGTTTTTGAAAATACTAAAAAAAAAAGTAAGAAAAGCTTAGTAAGCATAAAATTCTTCAATCAGTATATTTTGTAAAACAATAATAAAATAACAATTAGATGTCACAAGAAATGATTATAATAAAATTTAAAAATCACAAACTCGAAAGCATAATAAGATCTCAAACATTATATTGAATTATCATAAATTATATATTTTGCGCATATCAAACTATTTATAATTATCCAAATATATATAAGTATTCATTTATCCACTTTAAAATGAAATCTTTATCATATTAACATTTTTTTTACACGTAGTTGTTAAGTTCTTATAAGTTGGTTTTATTGGTATTTTCTTTCGTAAATTCGGTACATATGTCCATAATAGTCTTTTTAATTCATCCGTAAACTATAATAAAGGTTTTTTTTTTAAAAAAAAATAGCAATGATGCGTTTAAGAAGAAGCTTCTTGTTAAAACGAACAGGTAATTGTTTTGAATATGTGTCATTTCCTCTTCAACATGGAAAAGATTTCTGGCAAATCTTGAAATTTTTGGACTTGGCAGGAGGAGGGTCTCTTCTACTCTTCTAAGAACTCAAAATATAGAGAGACAGGAAAGAAATTGAAATTTCTAAGCTATGGGTACACGTGTTGCTCATGCAAAAGGTCAGTTTTAAAGTTCCATCCAAAAACAGAGAGAAGCCAAAACTCGAGAATGATTTTCTTTTTTTCGTTTTTTTCTTATGCTTGCACGTGCGCCACATGCAAAAACTTAGGTGTACAAGGTCAACTCTGCTTGTTTCGTCAATTCGTCTACAGAGCACTTCTACGAAGATTTATCTCTTTTGTTTGTCAACTTAAAGATAAAGCGGCTTAGCGATAGATTTGAAGAAGGTCCCTTTACTCTTTCAATTTTTGATTGAGACCTTGTGATTTAATGGCAAAAATTACTTCCAAACTACTACATTTAACAATTTTGAGCTTTTTACCATTGATTTGACTTAATTGGATCCTGAATTTTTTTAAATAACATTATCTTTAACAGTAAACCCTTTAACCATTAACATTTTTTATTTAATTCACTTAGTCAAAGTATAGTCTACATAAAATTACATATTGTCTATTCTTTAGATTTTAAAATTAATAGCACTCATAAATTTTTTTTACAAATAATCAAATAAGAAAATAAAAGTATGTATATTTAAATAATAGAAAGTTACATTTTTTTCTAATTAAGTATTTCTATTAAATTCAGACATGCTAAATTGACTAGATTAAAAATACATAAAATATTTAAATATAGCATTAACTAAATTGTCGTTAATGTAAATTTTAATTTTTTTAATTAAGTATTTCTATTAACCATTAAATTGATTATATTATAAATAAAATAAAATATGTAAACATAGTATCAACTAAATTTGTTAATATAAATTTTTTATTTTTTTCTAATCAAATATTTCTATTAAATTTATGCCGAGTTAACTATTAAATTGACACATCAGTATGCTGATCTATTTACCACACCAAAGATAAGCATTTTATTTTATTTCTAATTGAGGGTTTGTACTTTTATTTTTTATTTCAATATATGTACTTTTATGTTTTTATTTGATTATTGGTACTTTTAAAAGAAATATGAGTATTATTAATTTTAAAATCTAATAAATAGTTATTATGCAATCTCATGTAGATCATATTTTGACTAAATTATCTATTTTCTTTAAAAAAAAAAAATAGAATGTTAACGGTCAAATGATTTACTCGTTGATAGTTAACCTTTTAACCGTTAAAGATAACTAATAAAGATCGCATTTGCTAAAAAAAAAAAATAGTTTGAAATCCAATTAATCCAAATTGATAGTCAAGATCCAAAATGTAGTAGTTTGAGACCTTTGTACTTTAGATTTTTTTTCCTTTTTTTAACATTAAAAATGTTTTAAAAAATAATAAATAAAAAATAACTTAGAATGATTCTAAATATTTTTAGAAGTATCATATAAATCTTACTAAATAATTTCTATAAAAGAACTATTTATGTGACTATTAGTTTTGATAGAAAACTAAAAGACAAATTAAATCTCAAAAAAAAAAAAAAATCAAGTTCACAAGAGGTCAAATACGAGATTAAAAGTTTAAAACCTGATTTGTAGGTTTTTGCAATTTTGTGAAGACAATGTTTAATAAATAAATAATTTCTAAACTTGAAAAATTTTAAAATTATTTCTAAAAATAGAATTTTTATTTTAGAATATGTAAAAAATTTCCATTCAAAGTAGATTATATATAAAAAAAGGTTTTGGTCACGATGCCTGTTGACCTAATAGTCAAATCAATTAATGGAGGGAAAACATTTGCAGATAATTACTATTCATACATCATATCAAGATTTTTTTTCACTTGGAATTGTCTGTATTGTTATTTATTATATGAAAAATATAGTAATTCAATTACTATTTAATAATACTGGAATAATTAAATTATAAAAAAAAACTTGCAATGGTTCAATCAACATGAAAGCAAACAACTTTATTTATACCGAAAGCCATCAGTTTTGGCCCTTCGATGTCCTCCTGACCAAGTGCACAAAAGATAATGCCAAAAGAGCAGACTTGCATATTGTGGACAGAGGAATCCCATATTTTCCTTTTGCAAGCAGCCCTTTCATAAATGGCCATAAGCATGTTACCACCAATATGCTACACAATATCTCTCCCAACCCTGAGCCATTGTTAACTGATGGTGGCATGTCTCGGAAGCCCACGACCAATGCCCATAATTGCAGCAGTAGAACGGTTGTCCCAGGCACAAAAATTGGTGAAGCATCGAAGGTGAACCTGCCTTCATAGCCACCATCATTTGAAGATTGGTATTTTTGTGTAACTTCAAAAACTGTCTCTGATATTCCTAAAATCTTCAAGAATACACTTATAAATCCAAATAACCATGCATTCATTGTATTTATTCTTGCCATCCTTTGGTTATTCCACCACGCACGGATTGACAAGCCAGTTTCAAGGTACTCTAATAGAGTGTTAATGACATAGCTCAGGAGAAGGGCCACATGAATGGATATGGCTGGCTCATTGACCTGCGTTCCCCCGTTTTAAAGTTTTAGAAGAATTAGTGCTAAATGGACTAGTTTATAAACTAAATATTAAAACTGAAAACAGAACGAAGAATGACCATATCTATGTATCTATTCTATCTGTATATGTAAAAACTAAGAGTGGGTTGAATTTTTTTTTTTTTTACCATATATATGGTACTTAAAATATTTAAGTTTTTTTATTGAAACTTTCTATAATTTTTCAGCTTAATTAAAAAAATTTATTCTTGCAAATTTATTAATCTAAATTTTTTATTAACTCTTCATCCAACATGATATATTAAAATTAACTATAATTAATTACCATTGGACATGTGACATATCCTAACAGCATAGTCGAAAATTAAATAAAAAAATTAATTTTTTTATTATTAAACTAATATTTAGTAATTAAAAATACTACATTGTCTTCGTTACTTTCCATTCTGTCAGAACTAATTCTCTCTCTCTCGTTGCAAAGTCTTAGTCCCTAAAATTTTAATTCTGAAATCTATAAATCCCTTAATCCTCAAATGCCTAAATCCCTAACTCATTATAATAGAACGATTATGTTGTTAAGCATAGGTTCTTCAGAAAATTTAATGCTTTCACTAACTTCAACAAGAGAATGTTTCTGCTGTAAATCCATGACATTAGTACCACCACCACAAATCTCAGATTCAACTTCTTGTCTAGAGCTCAAATCTCTCGAATTTGTGTTGAACTAAACTTGGAGCTTACGCTGCAGACCTAATTTGTGTTGAATTAATCCTGATTCCAGCCCAATCAATGTCACCACCAGCAACGTGATTCGTATCCTGGACTGCGACAGATTGGTGGTGTAGTTGAGATTTTGACAGTGGTTATCGACAAATGACTAGGATTTGTGAGTTAAGGTCAAAAGAGGCGGCTTAACAGTGTTGAGTGGCCGGGGATGATAACAGATCGACGAGGAAGTGTTGGTCTATTTTGGTCGGCAGAGGGAAAGAATAAATCGACAGTTGGAGGAAGGTTTTTAGTAGGCTTCAGCTGCTGTGAGGTAGAGAGTGGTGGTGGTGGCTGCCAGTGTTGACTAAGGGAATGGTTGTCGTGGTCGTCGGCGGTGGTGGAGGAGAAAGTTACTACCGGTTTCCTTAGGTTACCGCCGGATTTTGCTTAGGGGAGAGGAGTTGCCGATTGTTTCTTGCTCTCTCATTTTTTCAAGGGTTGGAATAATAGGATAGGGGTAATGTGGTTCCTAAGACCCACTCTGGCATGCGTTTATTTGTCATTGTTTATCGATAATTATAACATATCACCTCAGATTAATAAAATCAGATTAACATTTAACGAAACTATATCAAAACATTTGAATCAACAAATTTATAAAAATCGAATATTTCTATCAAGCTCAAAATACATAAAATCTTAATAAAAAAAATTCCAACAATACAAAAAATAAAACTGGGGTAAACCATTTTTCTTTTTTGAGAATTCAGTATAATTAATTCTATAAATATTGAATTCGAATAAAATAAAAGATTTAGTTTTATATGTAAATGAGATAAAATTACTATAATCTTTCATTTTTAAGATATATGCATCTTTTTGTATCAGTTTTTTTTTTTTTTGTCAAACTAAATTTATAAAATAAATATTAATAATTTTTTTTTGTATTTTCACATTTTTCTATACACTTGGGCTTTTCTTTTATATCCATATTATTCTACACTTTTTCTCTGGATTGCTTACTTATTTATTATTATGGCATGAAATGATTTTTTTGAAAAGAGACTTGGTAGGGAGGAGGCCACTAGATACTTTTCATAATGCGGATGGTGAAAGAAAAGACGTCTCAAGCCAGGTAGCTAGCCAGCTGTAAAGGATAGTGGTGGTTACTTACGTGACTTGAATGTCCCTACAAGACAATTTGCTGCCGTATACATTATTATGGGATGAAGTGAAAGATTGATATAAATTAAAGAAATCAGAAAAGTACGTAAAAGGTCTTATTTAGGTGTTTTGCTCACCTTGGGCAAGAAACTCGAGTTGGTGATGATACAATATGCTGGCAACGCTGCGTAGCAAAGCTCAGGAATGGAGCGCAACCCCCAAATAAGGATCCAGAGATACGCCAAACACTGTCTAAACTGGAGTTTGGCAGTAATGGTGGTAATGATGGGGCTTTTCTTGCCGAACAATATTTCAAGCAAACCTGTCGCCCACCTCTTTTGTTGGGTCATCGAGATTGGTCCCTGCGATGGAGCACATCCCAAGAAGGCATGAGGATCTGGGGTGCAAAGAACGGACCTCCAACCCCTTGCATGGATCATTAATCCAGTGAGGTTGTCTTCTACTGTGGATCCATATTGCCAACCCACCTGAGATAAAACTTGCCACCATCAATCATATCATGGGAAGGGTAAAAAAACAATTTTCAAAGCATAAATTAATAATATTATTTAGCAATTAAACCCTTGATTTTTGTTAACACTAACCTCTGCGCCCCAGCTAGTACCATGCTCGTAGCCACAACAGGCAACTTGATGTGCTGCCTCGATTAAGTTTGGAAGATCTTTAGGACTCATATTTGTCTTCCCTTGTAATGCATAAGCAGCTGATCTGATAAACTCTTTTGAATTGCCAAATATTTTTAGTTGCTCCTTGTCCGCTAAATCACCTTGTTCAGAAAAAAAGAAAGAAAGAAAAACATTTGTTACACAAATACGAGGAGAAAGGGTATGATGATAGTTGCAAGAGAAGAGAAGAAATTGCGACCATATGCTATGGATTACCATAAAGTGGAGTGAGATTTTTTGCTTGATCTCCTATGTCATCCGGACATGAACCATAAATGACATTTCGCCTGTGAAAACATCCTGTTCCCTCATAGTAGGGCCCTTGAATTCCAGCTACTCCACTCAGTATGTACTACTTGGTTTAAACATTCAAAGCCAAATGATCATAAATAAAGTACGAGAGAGAAAATTGTTGCAACTTCGATAATGGATAGGATTTTGGACGCACTTACTTTTTGCAAAATTACGAACTGGTTTCCAAATGGATCATCCTTTAGTCCATCATAGAAGTATTGGGGATACTGAACAAACCCACTTTCCCTCTCATTCTTGGAACCAAGCAACAGACACATTGCATGGCGAAAAGTCTCTGGATTATTGACAAACATATCGCAGTCCACGTTTAACATGAATGGAGCATTTGATATCAATCCCGAGACTCTAGTCTGTTTATCATACAATAACAAATTCAATTAATTAAATTGTCACTATGACCATACGAGTAAGTTAATTAACTAATAATAAGCTAACGTTTAATTGTAAGATCTAAAAATAGCACTAGGAAAAGCTCAAATACAGTTTGGGGTAGAATCAACTTTTCTCTCAATATTTTCATATTAACTTGCCCTCAAACTATTTTGATTTCTCAACTAACTATTTCTATTAAAATTATTGAACTGAAAACGTTAAATTTTCTACAAAATGATGTTCTTTCTTACAAAAAAAACGTATAATTTGGATGGAAAAGCCTAAAAAAATGATGAAAGTATTTAATTTAGAGTTTCTGAAAATTTAAGGGCACAATTAATACAAAAACTTATTTGAATGTAAAATTGAGACTATTTGGGGGATATTTTTGAAATTTGCAAAAAAAAAAAAAAAAAACTACTGTATAGTGTTGACAGTAGAATTACTTACTAGGACGTTCATGGCACCTGCTTTATAGTGATGTGGGTGATTTGGCCTCTTCTCTCTTGAAATGTAAACCAAATGCGGCAACACATCTGAAAGGCCAGTCTTATTCTCCCATATAACCTACAAAACATTTGTCTGAAATTAACAAGGATTGCAAGTTCAAAATTTGTGACATTAATTTTGTAGAAAAAAACCAAAATTACGATGTAAAAAAGATGCTTGGAAAGTGAAGTGATGGCTTACTTTGATTATAGCTGGATGGTTTTTGCGCTCTATATTCGAGAAGACCGCAAAATCACCGCTTAGATCCCACTCGGAGGATTTTTCAACGGCAACTGATTCAATTTTGCAGGCAAGGTCCTCGTACTCATCCTACGAAACATCAAAACAAAAGTAGTTCAAACCGTTCGTAGTTAGTACATGTTCAACCACTCAAATTTGTTTTATTATCTCATCGACACTTGATATATATATATAGAACTTTCGAAAGAGCATTAATTCCTAGGTGCAATGCATATTAAAATTGAGTTTTTTTTTTCATATTTGAATGATGTATTTTTAAAATTTACTTTTATTTTTTGATTTTTTTTATGTCGAATTCTTTATTAACTTTACTAATTAGTGATTGATATGCAACATTACAAAATAAAAAATTTCAAAAAAAAAACTAACATTAATTGATAGCATTACAAAAAAAAAAAAAATTCTGAAAAATAAAAATCTCAATCAAGTAAAAAATAAATAAATGATTGCAATAAAAAATTAAAAAAATACATGATATAAATATGAAGAAAATCTTATTAAATATATATATATATATGATTTTTGTTTTATATTTTTACATTCATGATATTTCGTTTTTCCTAAATCATCCCTATCATATTTACTTTAATGTGTTTTTCGATTTGTAGATATACCTCCATTAACTAAGTAGACAGCGTTATAGTGGTTGTGGATACTCTAGAAAAAAGAGGAAAATAAAAAATAGTACAGTAAGGATGACAAATTCGAGACAGAATGAATCAATTCCCAAGTTGAAAATTACCTTCATCTTTTTGTATTCTTGCTGGAATTCCAGGGAATTACAATTGCTGGTTAAACTGAGCTCACTAGAAAAGTATCTAAAAGGAGCTCTAGATTGAATATTATACTTCTTGCAAAATGGAACCCAAAGCCTAGCAAACTTGGATGCTT